CATCAGGTGTACCGCAGGGTTCCAATTTGGGACCACTGTTTTTCATAGTTTTTATTAACGATTTGCTCAGATCTCTTACATGTCCTGTACTTGCGTATGCAGACGATTTAAAAATTTATTCCTCTGTATTCAATGATATGGATGTAAATCTTCTACAGGATAACATAAATATTATTGCTCAATATTCACTGTCTAATTTCTTAACTTTGAATGTGGATAAGTGCTATTTTCTTACGTTTACTCGCAAAATAAAGTCAGTTTCTTCATCATATAATATTAATGGTCATGTACTTCTCAAAGCAGATTCAGCAAAAGATCTCGGAGTACTTTTTGACTCAAATCTTACTTTTACTAACCATATTGAATCTACAGTATCATCAGCATCAAAATCCCTTGGATTTATAATGCGTACATCGAAATTCTTTAACGATTTCTCTCTCCTTAAGACGTTGTATTTTTCGTTTGTTCTAAGCAAGTTAGAATATGCATGTGTGGTCTGGGCCCCATATTACGTGTGTCATCAGTTAACCATCGAAAAAATTCAACGAAGATTTCTAAAATATTTATCTTTCAAGATCGATGGAGTATACCCACCTAGACATGTTGATTATGACAATTTACTGCGACGGCATAATTTTCAATCGCTTTTTAGTCGTCGAAAAGAATATGGTGCTCATTTTATTTGGAAGCTTATTCACAATCGCTTAGACTGTAGCAACATATTGTCGCTTATAAAATTTCATGTGCCACGCTTGAACTCTCGATATGCATCAACTTTTGATTTTTCTACACCAAAAACAAATATACTTAGGAGAGCACCGCTGACAACTATGTGCCATGATGCTGATGTATTTTATTATGATATTTTTAATGATAAAATGTAATTTCTTCTCTATTAGTTTCTTTAATTGGTTAGTACTTATTATTTTATTGGTTTTTATATTAGGGTTTAACATTTGGTTATTGTAGTTATCATAATATTTTAAGTTAATTATAGATTTGTGCGTAACATTTAATTTAGATTTTGTCCTGTAATAGGGTAACAACCTGTTGGGCAATAAAGGATATTATTATTATTATTATTATTATTATTATAGGAACACAAACTTGAAATATTTTATCTAGTCGGGAATATAACTGCAATGTTGGCTCATTAGGGTCCGTGATGTCTTTTAGAAACGACGAATCAACGTTTAACAACATGTCATATAAGAGGGCAAAGTCTGCATGTCGAAAATTATAAGATTTAAAGTTGCCGTTACATATTTTTTTTTAGATGATAATTTGTGTTTTATAAATATCTCAAGACTGGGATGATGATGATCTTCATCAAGTAAAACATCAGTAGCTTTCGTTACTCTGCATTCAATGTTAGACAAAATTAAATCTAATAGTCGCAAATTAGAATTCCGTACGAAATTATATTGACGATAGCCACTCATCTCTAAGAAATTCAAAAGGGGCTTTAACCTTCCATCAGGAGTCTGAGTATGCTGGAATATTGAAATCACCTACGATGAGTATGTCCCCGTCGAGAGTTAAGCAAAGAGATATTAAGTTTTCAAAAAATACATCAATGTTTTCCACACATGTTCTTGGACATATGCAACCACTATGTAAAAATTTTGGAAGCAAGAGTTAATTTTGACCACTAGAATATCGATCATTGCCACGAAATCGAAACCTAAATTAGAAATGTGGAGCTTACATGAAGTAAAGGAAGGATTAACTCCTATTAAAACTCCTCCACCTCTTGTACAATTAATACGAGAAAAGTTTTTGTCGCTTCTATGTATTGTGTAATTACTTGATATTTCTGAGTCTAGAACTGTGTCATTCAGAAACGATTCAGTGAATGCAAATATATCAGAATGGAAAACATTTAGAAAATTACTCAAATCATTTAATTTACTGTTAAGACCTCTTACATTTTGATAATAGGTAGATTATTATGTCTCTGTGATATAGTGAGTGAGAACTATTGCAATTAACTGAAGATGCTAATCCCGAAAAAGAAGAGATGTAGGTGATATTAGGGTTTAATTGCTATTGTGAATTAAATATAATTTATTTAAGTTTTCGACATGAGCTTAGTAGACCGTGCATTTGTTAATGTCGCAGGCTGAATGGTTTGTGTTTATATTAGCATACTACAGTTAGTACACTTAAGAAGATTCGACTTACAGTCTTGTACCTTATGTTTTTTTGAACACTTTGGACAGATTGGAAAGTTTTGATCGCATTAATCAGAATAGTGGTGGATCGATCATCTACATCCAGGTTCTGACGGGTAGTCAATTTGTTGATTATTTACATGTGTCTGTATTTATACTTTATAATTTGTTTTATTTCTTTATATGTGTGGACATGGTAAATTCATCATTTTCTTATTTTTTCATTTATTGTCTTTGTTGCATGTGGATTTTCATGTGTTTTGGATGACGTGCTTTATTGTATAGGTATTATTGTTCTTTATGAAGAACATGTTTATTTTTTGCGAGTTATATTGTAAGTATTTTGTTTATCATACCTGTCATTAGTTTTAAAAAATGTCAAATAAGGGTTGAATGTTTCAACGGGGGGAGTATGTGCGGCTTTTGGTGTTCCCCTCAAAAGAGAGCCGATTCCTCCCTTCTGCGGCCGGCTTGTTTTCGGCTCCTTTGTTTTTTGTATACAAACGACTTGTCTCAGTAAATAGTGGTAAATAAAGTTGAGATAGTTGTTAACAATCTACTACCTGATACATTTTTATTTAAGTGGGCTGTGAGCCATTTATGGAACATTGTTCTGTTAGACAATAAAATATTATTATTATTATGATTATATATTATTATATTTATTACGCAATGTTTTGTGCTTTTAACCTATTTCCTTGACACTTCCTAGCACGCAGTCTGCTTGAAAAGAGTTAAATGCGTTTTTTCTGTACAGACTGTAATTTATTATTATTATTATATACCACAAATTGTATTCATGATGAAAGAAGCAAATAAGTAAGACGAAGGTGAAGGTTGCTGGTCAAGGTAAATTTTCGGCTGTCGACCAGGGCCACATACTCAGAATTTCGATAACATTGAATAACATTAAATATATGGAAATACGGTAATAAATCGGAAATAATTTACGGGAACCGGATGGAGTATCGCTTAAAGAAACATCCGTATAACTACCTTAGAGTATCGTAGCTAATTTGATTTTATTAACGAAACAAATATTGTCGAATTTATAAAATAATTATATTAATTAATGACAAACAGCGTCCGACCCGTGCAATCTGCTACAATTATTGCCAAACTAAAAGAAGAATAATTTTTTGAAGTGGGAACAAAAAATTAATTTATCCAACAAACCTTATATCACATTACGGATAATTCACGGTTATAAATTTTGTAAAAACGGTTGAGTTAATGGCAATCTGTACAGTAATAACACTAATAACAATAACAATTTTCATAAAACTTTCCGTTGTTGTTGCAAAATTATCACCATTTATTAGTGGTGGACGCAGTGGTATTTAAGTATACCTACTTCAGTTATTCAAAAGTATTTTCTATTTTGATCTTTACAAGATGACGCAGCTCTTGTTAGAAGACATTAACTACAACACAAAATGTGAAATTCTCAAGGGTAACCTTTTATTTACAAATTATAAATCGACACTTTTAGAAGAGAGAGTTTTTAGCGGCTCTAATTTAAGTTCACGCTAATTTATATCACGGCCTTACGATACTTAGTTAATTATACATTTTAGAATTTTTGGCTTTTAAGGCATAAAGTTATAGTTACCAGAGAGAATATAATGCATGCTGCAGATAAGGTTTGAGATGGTATTTGGTACCCACACAACATGTTACTGTCCAAACGACACCAAAAATATCACTAAACTACTATGTCGGCTACTTCCGTCTAATAATCCTTGTGCGTAAAAAATGGATTCGATTGATTCGAAAAGTCAAGTATTGACAAACAGATTTTTAAAAGTGATCGTAGAATGGAGGAAAAAGTGTTTAAAATTACTCTTTAACAATTTTTGAGAGTTTAGAAATATTTAAAAATAAAATTAGAGTGTTCAGTTCTGACATAGAGCCAAACCAAAAAAATTCGTCTAAAGAGTTTAGACAGTAATTCCCTCGCTGTCGGAAACGTGACGACTGCATGTCTATTATGTTTTTTTTTCGCAGTAGATTTCATTATTTTTTTTGAGTCACCCGGTATATGCAAATTCAAAAAATATGAATGGAATGATAAATTATAAGTACAGACTCATCATATTTTGTATATACTAGATCGGATTTATTCGGCAAACTTTTGAGCTGACGTCATCAGTTTTTTGTAGGAGATAACCAAATATATTTTGACTAAAAATTTATTATGCTCTTTATAACCTTAAAACATTTGCAAGATCTCAAAACATTCGGTTCTGGAGTTCCTGATTAAATCAATAAAATACATTTCCTCCATTTCTTAACTTGTTAGATAAAATTTGAATAGTAAAAGTGAACTAGACATTGAAACTTAAAATGAGGTCAATAACTTTTTGATAAACAACATTGGAAATAAAGCAGTTCTGTAAGATAACACTACTGAAATATTTTCGTTGTGTTTATTAATCTCTAATACCCTACTTAAGAAGCAAAATTGTAATTTTGGGACGCCGCTATCATCTTTGTCCCAATTTGTTGACATTGTACTTCATTATTACAGTGCGATGTTTCATCCGTTTGATACATAATTTTATCTAAAAAAGTTACAAACGTTAACTGCACAAAAAATTGGAAAACCAAGGTTCCGAATGACTTTTGGTAAAATTATATAATGGAACAGTATTTAATTACGCGTTATTAAAATTGCTCGGTCTTGAAAACAGGATTACCTTAGATTATTGACCAAGGTCGCAATTCGGCCAACTATTTAGCATGACGACCACCGATTTTGTAAGTATATACTTTATTGTAAGTGTCTTAAAATGGTATCAAAATAAAGTGTACTAAAGAAATTAAAATGAATTCATTATTTAAATTATGCATTTAAGTATGTTATATGTTGTTACAAAAGTGGTGTAATAAGTGTTGTGTGATTAAAAGTTTTATGCAAATTTATGTTTTTATGAGGTACTTTTTCTTATAGTAATTGTGATTTTTCTTAGCGATGACTCACGTTAATTTAATTTATACGATTCTCGAAGTGAATACAATTATTCGCTTGCGGTAAACTGAAATATAGAACCGATAATATTCAGCCATTTATAAAACAATCCTTCAAGATTCTGGGTCAAATATTGATAAACTTATCAAATGTTAATGATTAAATTGGTACATGTTCTGCTTCTGCTCTCATTACAGTGACAGAATTTGTAATATATAATAGGTAGTGAGTACAAACAATAAATTACCATAATTTAAAACCTCAATTTAAAATTTAAATTGTCGGCAATGAGTGCAATCGCGACGGTAATTCTTTCAGCGGCAATATTTATTTTTTTGTTACGGTGGTTTCGCTCTAAGTTAGTTAAGCAAACAAATTTTATAAAAAAAATTCCCGCTCCGGCTTCGTCCCTTCCACTTTTAGGAGTTGCGTTAGATTTCGCCTCAAGCAAAGGTAAATTTCTGGCAATGTAAGTTTTTTAATCAATAAGTCTTTTGCAGCGGTTCTTAAAGTTTTGTTACAATACACGAATACTTATGGGTCAATTGTAAAGGCAAAAATAGGGCCAATACGTCAGTTGATTTTGGTTTCCGATTATAAATTATTAGAGCACGTTTTAAGCAGCACGAAGGTTCTAGTAAAGTCTGACGATTATAACTTCTTGCGACCATGGTTAGGAAATGGGTTACTAACAAGTGACGGTAAAACTGTCAACTAGCGCAACTGACTCCGAATGAAAGAAAATATTTCGTCTAAATTTATTCGTGAGTCAGTTGTTTGTACAATTTTTTCTAAAAGTGGAATTTAGGTCGTAAATGGAAAGAACGTCGACGCATCCTAACACCAGCTTTCCATTTTCAAATCCTGGAACAATTTATTGAAGTTTTCGAATCCTGCGGGGACACGTTTATCAAAAAGCTGGAACAAAATATTGGCAAGATTAGTTTCGATATTTATCCCTACGTTACTTTATGTTCTTTGGATATAATCTGTGGTACATAATATAAATTTAAGATTAAGCCTGTACTGATAAAATAATTTTAGAAAGTATCATGGGAATAAGCATAAATGCTCAGAACAACGATAAATCGGATTATGTTAAGAGCGTTAAAAATATGTGCAGAATTGCAATTGATAGAACAATTTCACCAATAGAAATGCATGACAGTTTGTATCCTTTTACAAGAAATTACTACACGCAGAAGAAAGCCATCGCTGTTTTGCATAAACAAAGTAATGGGGTGATTTCCTCCCGAAAAAAGGAGCTGGAAAAGAATCCTTGCAACAATAACAAAATCGACCCTGAATTATACATTAAAAATAAAAAGGCGTTTTTGGATTTATTGCTTCACGCAACCGTCGACGGTCGGTCGCTTACCCATGAGGAAATAAGAGAAGAAGTTGATACGTTCATGTTCGAAGTAGGTTTTTTAAATGGTTGTTTTGTTGTAATTATGTTTTCAATTTATAGGGGCATGACACTACCTCTTCAGCGATAAGTTTTACGCTTTATTGTTTGGCCAATCATCTAGAGGTCCAGGTAAGACAAATATAAGTATTATAGCGAAAATACTTTGATACATATATATTTGAGAATTCATCATTTTTAAACTAATTCACTTTCTCTGTTTTTGTTTTAAGAAAAAAGTGCTTGAAGAACAACATCAAATTTTTGGAAATAAGGAAAATTCTTTAGTGACGTATGCAGATTTGCAAAACATGAAGTACTTGGAATGTGCGATTAAGGAAAGTTTAAGGTTATATCCGTCCGTACCACTTTATGGAAGAAAATTAGACGAAGATCTCGCTTACGGTATTATCTACTCCTTTATAATTCATAGTACTTACAGTTTATTTATAGGTGACGAGGTTATACCTAAAGGTGTAACACTTCTGCTGTTTGCATTTGGAATACACAGAAATCCTGACTATTATACTAATCCTGATGAATTTAGACCAGAAAGATTCGAAAATAGTGATGGGAAGCTACCTTACGCATACATACCTTTCAGTGCTGGACCAAGAAACTGCATAGGTATGACCTAATGTCATTTTGCACTTTTTTTGTAGTGTTTTCTATACGTAAAATAGATAATTTATTTTTCTATTTGAAAAAATTAATAAGATTTTTGAAAATTTTAATATGTACTGCTATTTTAATTTATAAACACTCTGTGTACTAAAGTTCAGTATTATCGGTATAATAACATAACGCATACCTTTGTTTATTTCTTCGTAAAATACTGCGACACAGATGTTAAAATGAACCCTATTCCGATTTTTACAAGAAATTACTACTTGTCAGTTTCATAACAATGGAATTAGTTCAATTCGATATGTGTTCCTTTTAGGCCAGAAATTTGCAATGCTCGAAATGAAAAGCGTGATTTCAAAAGTGTTGCGAAATTTTGAATTACGACCAGCTACACCCGAGCATAAGTTGGATCTAATCGCCGAAGCTATTCTTAAGTCAGCAAATGGTATAAATATAAGTCTGAAGAGACGACTTGTAACTGAATAACGATTTATTTTTAAATGTTATATTTAAAAATATTCTTGTTAATAAAAAGTCAGTATTTGTTATTGTGGTTGTTTTATTAGGCACTCCTTAGAAATGTACGTTTCTTCAGTATGAAAGGACATCACTATCTTACAGGTTACAGGAGAAGCTTACCTAACTAAAATTTCCTAAGTGGTAAAATAATTGTCTCATAGTACCTACATCTTCATTTATGTCACTAAATTAAGTTCTCGAAAACGTGAAAAACCCTTCTTTATAATAATAATGATGATAAAATAAGAATTATAATATTCAGAACATTTTGTTAGATTATGGTTTAATTAATCATTTTAGTCCTGTGTTTTAGAAGACGAACTCACTCAAATCAAACTAATTTCTACGTGACATTCCTTCGATGTTTACACATAAATAAACACTTGAGCTTCAGACTGCTCTTACCTAGTGCTGAAGAACATTTTATCACGTTAGTTATGTGCTTTAAATATATTCTACATTGTCCGTACGGCGCAAAGGCAGCGGGGGTGTCATTTATGCCGCTGGTTTTTACTTTACAGCGGTCATCACAAAACGAAAGTCGTAAAATTAAATTTTATATATTTTTTAAAGAGCTGGATTTGTCGGATTACTTTTATAGCATTCGACCAATTTTTTATTGATCAAATAAGAATAATACATTTCTACGTGGGATTCTTTCGTTGTATAAACATAAACAGTCGAAGTTAAGCATGTTCACTGATAATAATACACTGTTTTCCGTTGGTTATTTGCTTTAAATGGGGGTGGTTCGAAGTGTCATTTACACCAGTGATTTTTAATATAAAGTGTAAACGTTACCAGAAAACAAACATTTTTTAGAATTTTTTAAAGAAGAGGAATTTGTTAGATTGTACTTCAAGAACGAGGGAAGTTCTGTTGAAGTAACTTTGACCAATTTTTTAGGAATTGAAATAACTTTTTTCTTTACAAAGCGTGTCCAAACTATTTAGGTTACGTTCAACTTTTCAGGATAGGTAGATAGCTTGATTTATTTGGTAAATTTTTCGCCTAAAAATTGTCTCTATACGGAATATATATGTTTGTATACCACGATATATCGTGGATTAGAAAAAATAGTATAATACTTATATGCTATTTTCTCTTCAAATGCTTAAGATTATACATATCAAAAACAACGTAACAATAATTTAGGAATACATTTCAATTTGTGTTCAGAAATCGTGATGGCGATTTATAAAAACATGTATGTGTGTTGTTTATGAAGCAGCTTCCAAAAGATTTAATACCAAAATAGGTTACCAAAAAAACGCAGACGCTTTTTTATAACTGATAAGGTCATAATCAAGTAACTTAGACTTATATGCTTAAGCTTACAATCATCTTATAGGCTTGATCATAGATATACGTGGAAGTTTTACTCTGCAATGAAATCATTAGAGCGTTACTTACATGACGTGTGAACAAAAAAATATTTTTTGCTAATCTCAGCATCAATTTAGTCGCTGAGGTTGTCCAAGATCTTTTTTTTCACACTCCTTTCGTATTGCAAAACATTTTGGGACAAAACATAGATTTGATTGATATATGAATTTAAAATTTAGCCAAAAAACTAATTTTAGATGTAGGTTACCATAAATGTTACAACGTTTGTTACCGACTTCTAAAGTACGAAAACATAGGTCTTCCATTTCCACCTGCCTGTTTGTCTATTTCTCTAGTTGCCTGCTGTCTGTCGTCTGGATTGATGACGGACGGATGGAGAAAATATGAAGGTACAAGTTTGCCTGATCAACTCCATTATTATACTTCCTTAGTTTACGCTCAATAGGGAAAAAATGGCTTCACAGCAGTAATAAAACAACTTGAACTATTTATTTATACATCGGAAGAACGTCGCGTAGAAATGAATCAGTTTGATTTTAATGAATTTGTCGCTTCAAAACAAAGGAATAAAATTATTATTACTTCAGTAAAGCATAGTCGAGCAAAATGTTTGAGTAATATTAATATTTATATATAATGTATTAAGTCTGTACCTGTAGGAAAAATACTGGAGTGAGGGAAAATACGTTTTGCTGGATTTAATTTGTTTAGAAAATCGAACTTAGTTCGTATAAATCAAAAATCAAATCTTAGTAAGATCGGTACCGGTTTCCTTGGGAGAACCTGATGACTACTGATGAGTCAATATAAGGAGTTCAGATTTAGAATTCGAGAGTTTATTTATTTGTGTCAAATTAATAAATTTAGCAACATGGTAGAACTTTTCAAATTAAAGTTGTAATTATAGAAACAATAAGTGTGGAAACACAAGCCAAAAACTTGCTCTTAGTAGAAGAATGCACAACAGCAACATATTCCAAAATTTCACTAAAATTGAAAGACATTAGTAAACACAAAAATCATTTGTGTTTTGTGTGTTTTTGTTCTGACCGAGTTTACGTTTAGTTAATCTCAAATAAATGTTATCTATTATCTGACAAACTTGGGTACATATTTTAAATTAAATGGGAATTAGTTTTATATCTGTATGCATTCGATTGTTAGAACCAAATTGGTGAGTCTATTTGTTTGTGATAAGATCTGTTGTCTTATCATTTATCAGAGCAGAATTAAACTTTAAAGATATTATGTCCAATTTTAGAGTTACTACAAAGTAAGTAGTGAACAAAATTACTAACGCGAAAAACTTGACAATTTTCTAAATTACTTACTGTTCTTCTTAAGTGGGCAAAATGGGTGACCTAGCATTTGGAATTGACCTGGGTACCACAAATTGTTGCGTGTCCGTCTATATGAACAATAAGGTAGAAATTGTAGAAAATAAATCAGGGGAACGAGTTACGCCTTCATTTATATATTTTCAACCAACGGGAGGTGTGATCGTCGGGAAACATGCGCAGGCAATGGCACTGCGCGAACCCAGAAACGGAATTTATGGTAAAATTTCGAGTTACGTTAATGACATAATATAAAAGATAACAATTTATTGTAGAAATGAAACGACTCGTGGGTAGAAAATGCGACGATACTCAACTTCAAAACAGCTTGCAATATTTTCCCTTCAAAGTCTCTTCGGATTCCTCAAACTCTCCAATAATTTCTGTAAAGCAGAATAATTCCGTAGTCGAAAAGTCGCCGCAGGAATTGTACACAATTCTCTTAAAGGAGTTGAAGAAAGATGTAGAAGAAAAATTGGCTAAAAGTGTAAACAAAGTCGTTATTACCGTTCCAGCGTATTTTAATGTCACTCAAAGAGAAGTAACTTTCGCAGCTGCTAAAGATGCCGGGTTTACAGTACTCAAGCTTCAGAACGAGCCAACAGCCGCTGCTTTAGCTTACTATTACGAAATGGACCTCCAAGAAGCGCACCGTTGTTTAGTGTACGATTTGGGAGGTGGTACTTTTGATGTTGCTATTCTGGAAAGACGTTGCGAGAACGTGGAAGTTATCGCCGTAGCTGGAGACAGCCAGCTAGGAGGGCAGGACTTTGATGCTTGCATTTTAGAGTACATCTGTGAACAATTAAAAGATAAATATGGCTACGACCCTACATTGGATCCTGATGACAAGAGGACGTTACGCCAAAAAAGTGAAGAAGCAAAAAAAGAACTGTCAACCTTAGACCAATCTGTCATAACCCTCAAGGGAATGGTACCCCAGCATCCCAAAATTGTAATAACTATAAACAGAAAGCAGTTTGAAGTCATGGCTGACAAATTATTTAACAAGACCATCGACATTCTAGATAGGTGTCTAAACGAATCTAAATTTTCTAAAGAGTCAATTGACGAAGTCATCCTGTGTGGAGGTTCTACTCGCATTCCCAAAATCCAAGAAATGCTTGCTATTTATTTCGACGGCAAGCAATTAAATAAATATGTAAATCCTGACGAATGTGTCGCCGAAGGTGCAGCTTTGCAAGCCGCTATGTTATCGACTAGCAAAAGACAGAAGATTGACCGTCTGGAAATGGTCGACGTTGTTCCCCTTTCTATAGGTTTCAGCAGCATGTGTGATGAAATGGTTTTTACTATTAAACGCGGATCAAAATTACCAACAAGTGGATCACATCTGTATGTTAGTTCTTATGGGGATAGCAGTACCATTTCTGCTGGAATATATGAAGGAGAACGAACAGACGTGAGAAAAAATAGACGTCTAGCCACACTATCTATTAGCAATTTAACTCCAGCGCCATCTGGGCAACAGGAAGTAATTTTTACTTTAAGCATTGATACGAACGGTATATTGACTGCTAAAGCTGAAGACATATTTGGTGAAAATGTCAAAGAACTAAAAATTGACTACACTGGAGGCGACAGAAGTGATGCCGAAATTAAGAATACGCTACTGGATGCTGCAAAAAATCGAATAGAAGACGAAAAGTTTGTTGAATTTGTCAAATATAAACGTTATTTAATTAGGTACTGTATCAGTGTTGTGCACAATTTAGAGGCTAGAAAACTTGTTAAGAAACACAAAAAAATGTACAAATTTTGTGGTTCCACAGTTCTTGAAGCGTACCTAAAAGAAATGGACCAAGAAAGTGAAATTAAGGAACTCATAGAGAAGTGTAAACGGTTATGCGAATCTGTGGTGCAAGATTGTCAGTTTGAATTCATGCCTGCAGACATCTAATTGACCTAACAATTGTTATCACACACAAAATGTGTAGTTCGCAAGCCTGCAGAATGTTAATGGAGTTGATTCGAGTTTAGATTTTAACACTATTTCCGTTTTTATTTAGTTTATACATATTTTCAAATATGCTTGACAAATAAAACTTATTCGTACCTTTTTATTATTAAATTTTAGATAAACATTTAGCCATTTTTACTTCCCGAGCTTAATCAAAGGAAGTATTTTAATCGAATCCGTCCACCGACTCTCTACTTTTGCATTTTCTCTATTTACCATGACCCCTAGAGGACGAAGAAATAGGTCTCCCGTTTCCGTCTGTCTGTTCGTCTGTCCGTCTGCCGTCCCGGATTTTTATAGATAGATAATCTCCGAAAATACTAGGCCGATTGTTGTTAAATTCTGTATTTATATTGGCTATATCATGTAGATGGTAAAACGCTAACCAAAATTTGTCTAATCATCCCCACCACTAATGTGATGACCTCACTTCAAAATTGTACATAGTAAATGGGTTTTAAATTATATCAAATAACAGTCTTACACATGTAGTTTATGACTCCGAATTGAGATTTTACCAAAAACGTCCAATTTTTTGGAAAAAAAATCAAAATTAGGAAACAACATTTTTGACATTTAATTTGGAATCTACAAAACCGAATGCTTTGAAATCTTGCAGATGGTTTACAGTTATGATAAGCATGATAAGTTTTTATTCAAAATATATTTACTTGTCCCCTCCAAAAAATTGATGACGTCACCTTAAAAGGTTGCCGAATAAATTCTATCCAAAATGTAGAAAATATGATGAGTCTGTACTTGTAATTTATCATTTCGTTCATATTTTTTGGATTTGCACCTACAGGGTGAGTCAAAAAAATTAATGAATGCGTGAATATATTTTATTTATGTAAGGATAAGGATTAAGTATCCTTCCTTTTATTGAATCTAACGCGCAATTAGGTCGGTAAGTTAGACCTCTGAATGGCAATGAGTGACGAAGCAAGTCAGATTTCATATAGGTAATGATGTAAAATGTTATGAATAATAACATTGAATGTTGCTTCTTTGTTGTTTATAGAGAAACAATTCAAGTTTTATTCCCTTTTAAAGACAAGAAGGAAAAACGGAAATAACCTCACATTACATTTATTTAATCAGGAACTACAAAACCGAATGCTTTGAAATCTTGGAAATATTTTATAGTAATCATAGGCATGGTAAATTTTTTGTCAAAATATTTTTCCTGATCACCCCTAAAAAATTGTTGACGTCACCCCAAAATTTTGCTGAATAAATCCTATCTTAAATGTGCAAAGTATGATGAGACAATACTTGTGATTTATCACTCCATTCATATTTTTGGGATTTGCATATACAGGGTGATTCAAAAAAATTAATGAATGCATAAATTTATTTAATTGAATTTAATTGATTTAATCAGGAACTACCAACCCAAATCCTTTGAAATCTTGGAGATGTTTTAAAGTTATCATACGCATGCTAAATGTTTGATCAAAATATATTTCGTCATTCCCTCTAAATAATTGATCACGCCACCCCAAGATTTTTCCGAAAAAATGTCTGTATCTTAAATGTGTCATTGTGCAAAGTATGATGACTTGATGAGTCTATAATTGTGATTTATCACTACATAAGTACTTTTTAGATTTGCTTATACGGGGTGTGTGAAAACAATTAATGACTGAGTCAATTTATTTTATTGATTAAATCAAGAATTGCAAAACTGAATACTTTGAAATCTTGACGTTTTGAACCTATTGTAAGCATGGTAAGCTTTTAATGAAAATGTATCTGCCTATCAACACCAAAAAATTGATCGATGCCTAACATCGGTTGCGAGCCACTGGTGTGCCGTGGTCCATACGCAGCGCATAAATTTCAACCGCCTAGCCCTATTTTTTTTTAGTATTACACTACTACATCTATCCAAACTGATATACGTGTCCTTGCAAAAATGTTGATGACGTCATCGCAAAATTTTTTTAAAATGCTCCGCTACAAAACTGTATGAGAAAAAAACATAATAGGCATGCCGTCGTCACTTTTCCGACAGCGAGGGAAGTACTGTCTAAAATTCTTTAGACCAATTTTTTATTTATCAAATTAAGAACCATTTCTAGAAAATGCGAGAACAGCCATATCTATATTTAATTATGATCAAATAAGAATAATAAATTTCTACGTGACATTCGTTCGTTGTTTAAACATAAACAGTCGAAGTTAAGCATGTTCACTGATAATAATACACTCTTTTCCGTTGGTTATTTGCTTTAAATTTGATCCTGTATTTTGTAATTTTTGTAATTATTTCTTTAATTATGTATAATTTTTTTTTCTTTTCTTTGAATGTTATCTTAATTTAATTGTAATATATTGTCCTGTCATTGGATAATAATCTGTTGGGCAATAAAGTCTTATTATTAATATTATTATTATTATTATTATTAAATATATTTCATATTGTTCTCGCGGCTCAGGTGGTTCGAAGTGTCATTTGTATCAGTGATTTTTAATATAAGCATAAAGGTTATCAGAAAACAAACATTTTTTATAATTTTTTAAAGAAGCGGAATTTGTTGTACTGTACTTCAAGAGCGAGGAAAGTTCTGTCGAAATAACGTTAGACCAATTTTATCCAAACTATTAAGGTACGTTCAACTTTTCAGGATAGATAGGTGGTTTGATTTATTTGGTAATTTTTTTGCCTAAAAATTGTCTCTATACGGAATCCGTGGACATGTTTGTATACCACGATATATCGTGAATTAGCAAAAATAGTAGATTATATTAATAAGAGTATAAGTAAAGTTTTATGTGGTGAGCATTGAATCTGATGACTGACGAATGGCAGTCCATGAGAAGCACATAAAGTACTTGCACTCTAAATAATATATGCCATTTTTTCTTCAAACGCGTAAGATTATACCTATCAAAAACAACGTAACAATTAGTTCGTAACTTTGATTCAATACTTGAAGTATTTATTTGTACATCGGAAGAACAAAGGAATAAAATTATTACTTAAGTAAGGGACAGCCGAACAAAATGTTTGAATAATATTAATATATATGTAACGTATTAAGTCTATACCTGTAGGAAAAATATTATTATTATTATTAAGAAGTCATAGAATTTTTCTATGACTATTAGTTATTTATTATTAGATCAATTTTACAGTATTGGAGTGAGAGAAAATGCGTTTCATTGGATTTAATTTGTTTGGAAAATCGAACTTAGTTCGTATAAATCAAAAATCAAATTTTTGAAAGACCGGTAATGCTTTTCTTGGGAGAACTTGATGACTACTAAAAACAATAAGTGTGGAAACACAAACCAATAACTTGCTGTTAGTAGAAGAATGCACAACAGCAACATATTCCAAAATTTCACTAAAATTGAAAGACATTAGTAAACACGAAAATCACTTGTGTTTTGTGTGTTTTTGTTCTGACCGAGTGTACGTGTAGTTAATCTCAAGTAATAATGTTTTCTATTTTCTGACAAACTCAGGTATCTTAAATTAAATCGGGATTAGTTTTATTTCAGCGTGCATTCGATTCTTAGAACCAAATTTATGACTTTATAATATGTTTGCGATAAGATATGTTATCACTTATCATATATCAGAGCAGAATTAAAGCTTAAAAAAACTATGCTCAATTTTAGAGTTACTACAAAATAAGTAGTGTACAAAATTACAGAACGCCAAAAACTTGACAGTTTTCTAAATTACTTAGTGTTCTTTTTAAATGGGCAAAATGGGTGACCTAGCGATTGGAATTGATCTGGGTACCACAAACTGCTGCGTTTCTATCTACATGAACAATAAGGTAAAAATTGTAGAAAATAAATTAGGGAAACGAGTTACGCCTTCATTTATATATTTTGAACCAACGGGCGGTGTTTGCGTCGGGAAACATGCCAAAACAATGGCACCACGCGACTCCAGCAACGGAATTTATGGTAAAACTTCGACTTACGTACGTTAATAACTATACAAAAGATTTATTGTAGAAATCAAACGACTCGTGGGTAGAAAATTTGACGATATTCAACTTCAAAAGAGTTTGCAGTATTTTCCCTTCAAAGTCTCTTCGGATTCTTCAAACTCCCCTATAATTTCTGTAACACAGAATGCTGTCGTAGTCGAAAAGTCGCCGCAGGAATTGTACACAATTCTCTTAAAGGAGTTGAAGAAAGATGCAGAAGAAAAATTTGGCGAAAGTATCAACAAGGTGGTTATTACAGTTCCAGCGTATTTTAATGTTACGCAAAGAGAAATAACTTTCGCAGCTGCCAAAAAGGCCGGGTTTACCGTACTCAAGCTTCAAAACGAGCCAACAGCTGCTGCTTTAGCTTACTATTACGAAATGGACCTTCAAGTAACGCACCGTTGTTTAGTGTACGATTTGGGAGGTGGTACTTTTGATGTTGCTATTCTCGAAAGCCGTTGCGATAATGTAGAAGTTATAGCCGTAGCTGGAGACAGCCAGCTAGGAGGGCAGGACTTTGATGCTTGCATTTTAGAGTACATATGTGAACAATTAAAAAATAAATATGGCTACGACCCTGCATTGGATCCTGATGACAAGAGGACGTTACGCCAAAAAAGTGAAAAAGCAAAAAAAGAACTGTCCATCTTAGACCAATCTGTCATAACCCTCAAGGGAATGGTACCCCAGCATCCCAAAATTGTAATAACTATAACCAGAAAGCAGTTTGAAATCATGGCTGACAAATTATTTAAGAAGACCATCGACATTCTAGACAGGTGTCTAAACGAATCTAAATTTTCTAAAGAATCAATTGACGAAGTCATCCTGTGTGGAGGTTCTACTCACATTCCCAAAATCCAAGAAATGCTTGCTATTTATTTCGACGGCAAGCAATTAAATAAATGTGTAAATCCTGACGAATGTGTCGCCGAAGGTGCAGCTTTGCAAGCCGCTATGTTATCGACCAGCAAAAGACAGAAGATTGACCGTCTGGAAATGGTCGACGTTGTTCCCCTTTCTATAGGTTTCAGCAGCATGTGCGATGAAATGGTTTTTACTATTAAACGCGGATCAAAATTACCAACAAGTGAATCACATCTGTATGTCAGTTCTTATGGTGATAGCAGTACCATTTCTGCTGGCATATATGAAGGAGAACGAACAGACGTGAGAAAAAATAGACGTTTAGCCACACTATCTATTAGCAATTTAACTCCAGCGCCATCTGGGCAACAGGAAGTAATTTTTACCTTAAGCATTGATACGAACGGTATATTGACTGCGAAAGCTGAAGACACATTTGGTGAAAATGTCAAAGAACTAAAAATTGACTACACTGGAGGCGACAGAAGTGATGCCGAAATTAAAAATACACTACTGGATGCTGCAAAAAATCGAATAGAAGACGAAAAGTTTGTTGAATTTGTCAAGTATAAACGTTATTTAATTAGATACTGTATGAGTGTTGTGCATAATTTAGAGACTAGAAAACTCGTTAAGAACCACAAAAAAATGTATAAATTTTGTGCTAGTACAGTTCTTGAAGCGTACTTAAGAGAAATGGATCAAGAAAGTGAAGTCAAAGAACTCATAGAGAAGTGTAAGGAACTATGCGAATCTGTGGTGCAGGATCATCAGTTTGAATTCATGCCTGCAGATATCTAATTGATGTACCGAGTGTTATCTTACAAGAACGACAATGTAAGTAGCAGTAGTCTTTACAGTAGCAGATTTACACATACAAAACTTGTAGTTCGCTAACCTATAGAAAGTTATGGAGTTCATGCGAGTGTCACTATTTCCGTTATTATTTAGTTTATATTTTCAAACATGCTTGACAAATAAAACTATGCAAACTTATTCGCACGGATTCTTTACTAAGTTTTAGTTAAACATTTATCAAATTTTTGATTTGTTATTACAAATATAACACCATGCAAATATTCTGTCCTATTATAAGCACAGATATTTTAGAAATAATTGTTGTATGTGTGTATTGAAACATGTACATTTATGACAACAGTGCAAAATAAAAGAGCAATTCGTTTTTCCGGTAAACTTATGTCCTTGTATTTCTTGCAGATTTTTAGTGTAAGAACAGTCTGAAGTGATTCATTATCATTACTAGAGAGATGCAAAAATAGTTCAAGGACGCGGTTATAACTCCCACTCCTCATTATCATTGCCACTCCAGTGTCGCGCGGCGAAATGCAAGATTTAACATACATATCAGTGCACCGACGGGCGAAGCGAAGCAATAACAGCGGACGCTGCTGACGGAAAGTGGTGGGAGGCGCCTGTCCTAAAACTGCATCTCCTTAATCATTACACATAAAACCAACTAAACAAAGCCCTCAAGAAATTTAAATAAATAACCTTTTGACAAACACGTGCCTTTATTTTTGTAACATATGTATTTAGATTAGCGTTGAATCCAATACCTACCACTTTATAATGACTAGATTTGTGTACATAGTTAGTACGAACTGTGTCAGGTAGGCTTTTTGAGATGATGTTGTGAATTCCACTGACTGTGGGATACCTCCAGCTGTTAATTCCTCTTTTCATGCGTTTTCGATGTTAATATGTATGTTTGAGCCTCCAGCGAGCAAGTAAACAATAGCAACAGGAAAACATTACTATATTCGAAATTTACCGTATCGGTAGTGTTTTCTTCGTTTTCAAACATGGTTCTTGAAGATCGTTGTATACCCTAACCCACGGTTGTAGAATAGATAGGTTTGTACACTAATGGCTTGGGATGGCGACGCTTCTTTTCGATCCCTATATCCATGGAAAGGACACATACAGCTAGCGCCTCTACCTTGTCGAGCGGAAATCATTCTAGTTATTTTGGGGATTTTCGTTTACATTGCTTTATGAACAATACAAAATTTGTAAATGACATTTGATCGGAGTCGATAAGTAGGATTTCTTTTATTAATTACATCGGTTATAGACAGATGCCTATAGAGTTCTGTGTCCCTAAAACGTCAAAAACCAGGCGACGCGATCGACAATTGGCGTCGCTAACCAGGGATATGCAAATGTATGCTAGTGTATCAACCTATCTATTCTACAACCGTGCCCTAACCTAATACTAATCATTGTCAATAGACTTTTCGTTCAATGACATTTTTTTTTCATTGACCTTCATTTAATCTTTCAATATATTCGAAATTTTAATAGATAGAAGTCGAAAATAGGTAATAACACACGTTTATTATTTTATTATCGGTACCAATTATCAGTTACAAATCAGTGATAAGTGAAATCTTTTAAAGCAAATTTTGTTATTATTTCATATTTATTTTATAAAGTTTTTGTTATATAGGGAATTTAGTTTAGAATTGTTAATTATGTTTTCTTAGGTTGGTAGATAAGTAAGGTTAAGTCGCAGAGTAACGTTCTAAAAAGCAATTGTAAAAATGGCGTCGAATATAGTTGAGTTTAGTTAAATTGCATTTCTACATTCTTGACAAAACCCTTTCCCATTTGAGGCCACGACATCACAAATTGGCGACGAGGATACCAAGGAATCGAGATGGGTCCCAAAGCAGATCCAGCGAGTGGCGGCAGCGGCGGCACCACAAAAGTAACAGTTATTAATACCGGAAATTTGTCGCATGTAAAACAATTTAATCTGGGAGACGATTGGGAGATTTTTTCTGAGCGACTGGAGCAGTCATTGGTGGCAAATATGGTAGAAGAGGAAAGGAAAGTAGCTATTTTATTAACGTCCATTGGAGAGGAAGTCTACAAGATTTTGAGAGATGTTTGTCATCCAGTAAAGCCGAAGGAGAAGTCGTTTGCTGAATTACTTCAGTTGTTGGATGCCCAGTTTAAGGCAAAGGTGTCAGTTTATCGTAAGCGGATAGAATTTGATTTGTTGAGGCAGACAAACGAAACTATTGCGGAATGGTTTATGAAGGTTAAAAACGCCGCAGCAGCATGCTCCTTTGGTAGAAATCTGGACGACCGGGTCAAGGACAAGTTTGTAGTTGGGTTGAAGCCAGGGTTGATCTTAGATAGACTGTGCGAAGAGTCTCTCGACAAGAGCTTACAGGATCTTTACGAACTGGCAGTAACAAAAGAAGCGGCTCTACGGCAAACACGACACGAAGTCGGAATACATCGAGTGGTGAAGTTTCAGGAGAAGAAAGAGGGAAAAGCACGGCCTGAAGGAGAGAAGCGCTGTTATCACTGTAATAAGGGTAACCATAATTTTAAAAATTGTAAGTTCAAATCTTATGTATGCGCTAAATGTAAAACAAGAGGGCACATTGCGGCGGCTTGTAAAAGCAAGATTGTTAGAAATCATTGTGTTAGTCAGAGTGTTGAAGAGATAGTTAATGATGAAAGTTCCAATTCTGAAATTTTTCAAATAACTGAGGTATATTCAAATAACTATATAGAGCCATATTATGTATATGCCAAAATTAATAATTGTGCTGTAAAATTTGAAGTAGATACAGGGGCAGCACTATCGTGTATTCCACTCAATATTTATGAACATAATTTTTCAAAAGTAAAATTACAGGCAACTAGAGTTAATCTGAGGACATATAATGGGCAAATTATTTATCCTGTAGGAGAAATTGTTGTCAAAATTAAATATAAGCAGGTAGAAGTAGAAGGCAAGCTAATTGTAGTTAGAGAAGGATGTAGAACTTTAATGGGGCGAGATTTGTTAACTAAATTTAACATAGGTATTCAAACTATAAGGAATGATGTTAATACACTTAGTATGGCAAGCAATCCTCATATTTTGACTCCACTGCTTAATGAATTTAAGCAACTTTTTACTGATGAGTTAGGGCGCTATAATGAGGAAAAAATCAGGCTTGAAATGATCGAAAATGCGACTCCAATTTTTCATAAACCAAGGCCAGAACCACTTGCGTTCAAGGGTAAAATACAAAAAGAGCTGAATAGGTTAGAGCGGTTAGGTGTAATTGAAAAAGTACCAACAGCTAAATGGGGAACTCCATTAGTTCCTGTAATGAAACCAAATGGGACAGATATCAGACTTTGTGCTAATTATAAAATCACTATTAATAAATATTTAAAAGATGTGCATCACCCTTTACCTCGTATAGATGAAATATTTGCAGCCTTACAAGGTGGTGACAAGTTTACTAAGTTAGATTTTTTAAATGCTTACAATCAATTAGAGGTGGATGATGAAACTAGTGAGTTATTAGCTTGGAGTACTAGTCAGGGAATTTACAAAGTCAAACGTTTACCTTATGGAACCAAACCCGCTTGTTCTTTATTTCAATTAGTAGTTGAGAAAGTGTTGCTAGGGGCGCCAGGGGTAGTCAATTTTCTTGATGATATTCTGGTCACAGGTAAAAACGACCAAGAACATTTAAACAACTTGCGAGAAGTTCTAGTTCGTTTACAAAAGGCAGGATTTCGTTTAAACATGAAAAAGTGTGAATTTTTTAAGAATAGTATTCATTATTTAGGACACATTATTACAAATAAAGGCTTACAAAAAGATCGTTCTAAGGTTAAAGCTATTTTAGAAGCACCAATACCACGAAATGTAACTGAGGTTAGAGCTTTCACAGGAATGGTTAATTATTATTCAAAGTTTATATCAAATTTGCAGAGCAAAATGAAACCTCTGTATAGTTTACTGGAACAGGGTAGTGTTTTTAAGTGGACAAAAGCATGTCAGCAAGCTTTTGATGTAGCAAAACAAGAAATTAGCTCTGAATTAGTTTTAGTACATTATGATATAAATAAACCTCTAAGATTAGTGTGTGATGCCAGTCAATATGGTATAGGAGCCGTCCTAAATCACGTAGATTCAGACGGGACAGAAAGACCCATTAGTTTTATTTCACGGGTGTTAACAAAATCTGAAAAAAATTATTCAATGATTCATAAAGAAGCGTTAAGTATTTATTGGGCAGTACAAAAGTTTTATCAATTCTTAGTCGGTAGAAAATTTGAAATTATGTCAGATCACAGACCCCTCCAAGCTTTGTTTGGTGAAACACGTAGTCTACCACAAATGGCAGCTGGAAGGTTACAACGATGGTCTTTATTTTTGTCTAATTTTGACTACACTTTCAAAGTTATTAAAGGGTCAGAGAATGTTAAAGCAGATGCCTTGTCCAGACTCCCGCTACCATTTGAGGAAGGTGGTGAAGAAGAAATCTATGATTATTTACATTTTGTTGAAAATTGTGTGCCAATAGATGTTAATATAATAAGATCTGAAACAAGAAAAGATCCTATCTTAAGCAAAATATATAATAGTCTTAGATACGGTTTTCCTGAAAAACCAGATAACGAGATACTAAAACCATTTTTTGTCAGAAAAAATGAATTATATATTGATAATGGTATAATAATGTGGGGTTACAGAGTGGTAATTCCAACAAAACTGAGACAGCAACTATTGAAGGAATTGCATAACACGCATGAGGGGATGGTTAAGATGAAAGCAAATGCAAGGTCTTATTTTTGGTGGCCTTCCTTAGATAATGAAATTGAAGATTATGTCAGGCGTTGTAATATTTGTATGTCAGAAAGACCAGAACCATTAAAAAGTAAAGCAGCGAGTTGGCAAGACGCAAAACATTTGTATGAGAGAGTTCATGCTGATTTTTTAGGACCGATCAGGGGGAAAATGATTCTCATAATCATTGATAGTTTCTCTAAATGGCCAGAAGCCTTTGTAATGAACAGTACAAATGCAATTCATACTGTTGAAAAATTTCGAGAAGTTTGCTCGCGTTTTGGGTTACCAAAATTAATCGTAACAGATAACGGTACTCAATTTGTTTCAGAACAATTTTCACAATTTTGTTTTTATAATGGTATCAAACATATGACCTCTCCTCCGTATCATCCTCAATCAAATGGGTTTGCAGAAAATAGTGTAAAAACGTTAAAATCGTCAATAATAAAAATGTTCAAAGCGGAAAGCAAGGCAGTACCAATGGAAACTCTTATAAATAGATTTCTGTGTCATTATCGTAATTCTATACATCAAACAACGGGATATAGACCCTCCGAATTAGTTTTTAAAAACAAAATAAGAACTCGTTTAGATTTATTAACAGATAATAATAAAGGTGTTAAGGCAAATAGAGGTAGTCGGAGCGTAAGAGTAGTGGAATTTGATGAGGGAGAATTAGTATATTGTAGGGATTATAGAATGCCTAATAAGAAGAGTTGGGTATTGTGTAAAATCGATGAAAGGTTAGGTGACAATGTTTATATGTGTAGGTTATTAAATGAAAATGTTGTGTGGAAGAGGCACCTAGATCAAATTGTAAAGGCGCTTCCTCCAAATGATGGGAGTGTTGTTAACAGTGAAGAGAGGCGAGATACTGTTAACCAAACTCATCAATCTCATCATCAAAACGCAGAGACACAAGAAGCTATTGTACCTTTAACTCCTAGTGTTAGGTTAGAACAAGAAAACGTCAATGAACCTCTGACGGAAGTAGTAGAAAATGATGGAGGTGAACCTGTAATAATTAATACTAGACCAAAGCGTCAGTTTAAACCACTTCAGCGCTTAAACTTGTGAGAGGGAGGTATTGTTATATAGGGAATTTAGTTTAGAATTGTTAATTATGTTTTCTTAGGTTGGTAGATAAGTAAGGTTAAGTCGCAGAGTAACGTTCTAAAAAGCAATTGTAAAAATGGCGTCGAATATAGTTGAGTTTAGTTAAATTGCATTTCTACATTCTTGACAAAACCCTTTCCCATTTGAGGCCACGACATCACAGTTTTAAACTGTTTTACTTCCCGAGCGTAAGCAAAGGAAGCATTGTAATCGAGTCCGTCGGCCGACTTTCCACTTTTACATTTTCTCGGCCTTTCATGACCCCTAGAAGACGAAGAAATAGGCCTCCTATTTCCGTCTGTCTGTCCGTCTGTCCCTCTGTCCGTCTGTTCCTCTGTCTGTCTGTCCGTCTGTCTGCCGTCCCGGATTTTTATTAGACAGAAAATCTCTGAAAGTACTAAGTAAGTAAGTATTGTTGTGAAATTTTGTACTTACATATATCAAGAATATCATGTAAATGGTAAAACGTTAACCAAATTTTGCCTAATCATCCCCACCAATAATGTGATGAGTGGTGACTTCAAAATTGTACGTAGTAAATGGGTTTCAAATTGTATAAAATAACATAGTCCTACACATGTAGTTTATGACTCCGCATTGAGTTTTTACCCGACACGTCCAGATTTTTTGAAAAAATATAAAAATTATGAAACAACATTTTGCAATTTAATTTGGAATCTGCAAAACCGAATGCTTTGAAATCTTGGAGATGTTTTACAGTTGTCATAAGGATGGTAAATTTTTAATCAATATGTATTTGCTCATCCCCCTGAAAAATTGATGACGTCCCCTAAAATGTACAAAATATGATGAGTCTGTACTTGTGATTTATCATTCTGTTGATATTTTTTAGATTTGCTTAACATATCGCTTAAAAAAATTAATTAATGAGTCAATTTATTTTATTGATTAAATCAGGAATAGTTCACTACATTAGCCCGAAAATTTGGGGATACAACACTGTTGCACCAACCCAATTTGATAGATACAAAATTTTGTAAAGTAAAAACTCGTTTGAAACATAGGCGTAGCACGCTTATTTACATTTACTTTAACATTAGAGACGTGCATTTGTTTGTTGCGGTGGTTAGGTTCCGTGAATATGGTATAGACAAGTTATAATCAAGCAATTGTGAATTACACCATCAAAAATTGAAATAAAATCCAATGTTTTATATAATAAGCGGAAGGCGAAGCAATAAAAAAGTCTGGGTGACCATCGGTATTGTTTGCAATGTCTCTGTTTGACTCTCACGCGTACAATCTGAACAAGTGTTACCGCTTGTTGTCTTAAATTAAGAATGCTTAAACATAAATGATTTTGAGTCGTCTCTGCTAATACACGCAGCATACGTGAGTAAACTGTTTCGTTATTTTATTGATTGTAAATCAATATTCAAGACGACCCAGTTCATTTTCCCGAAAATTTGGGATTACAGACCTTTTATTTTAGTATTACACTACATCTATCAACATAATAGGCATGCAGTCGTCATGTTTCCGTCTTTAGACCATTTTTTTTTTAATATTATATTTAATAATATTTTATAATTGTGAAAATTAGGACATACCTGCATCGACATAATTTACGATACTCTATGATCTTTGAAATTTGAAGCTTTTCTTTGGATACCTTTTGCGAAAAATCGTTCATTGCTGAATCGATCTACAATTTTGCGTTCTCAAGCACCAATTTTACCGTAAGTTTAGTTTAATTTGAATAGTTTAAAAAATCGCTGCAACGTTCATCAAACTTTCAATTACATACTAAGTTTGAAGGTAAACTGATAAATTTATATACAGATGTGGCGGTAGAGGACTTAGGATTCTCCGAGAATTATTGAAAATAATTTTTGCAAACCTTTTCAGATTATCACAAGCATGGTTAATCCTTATTGGAAACTTACTGTTTATCTCCCCGAAACTTGTTGATCTCGCCTTAAAATTTCAAAATATGTGTAAAATATTACCAATTAATTAGAATTGGCCATGTAAGTGATTCAAGAAGTTAGTGAATGAATCAGTTTATTTTATTGATTGAATCATCCCTTTTTCTGAAAATTTGGGAATATGATCTGTTCTTGTTAAAAAATTTTGTTAGAAAAACAGACTTGAAACATACGCATATCATGATTCTTTACCTGTACTTTCACAGTCTACACATAGGGGAGAGTTGCTCAAAATCGGATATTTAGTGAAAGATCTTCAATATCACCTAAATAACCTAACTTATGTTTACAATTTTTCTTCTGTGTCACTGCTAGTTATACTACAATACTCTTATATACTTATTTTGGAATAAATTGTTTCTGCTGTAGAAAAAAAAATGCTTTTTTAAAAATATGTAAAGTATCCGATTTTGTAAAACTAGTCGTCCAAAACAAGACAGTGTAGTTGGATAAAATAGGATACCTGTTTGATTGATATAAATAAACTTTTCTAGTATTGAGTAGGTACACTATATTAAATTCTGTAACTAACAATGTGAAAGTACTAGTAAAACAACTATTCTGTTATGATTTTTACATTAGTAGGTATTATAATTAATGGCAAAAGTCACATGTGAACACCTCATCATCGTCAGGTTCAATACCGGCACATTGCTCATGTGCCCAATCGCTACACTTATGACACTTTATCCACCCTTCCTCAGATTTGGAGTTAGAATACAATTCATTACAATACATGCAAGTGGCATTATCATCATCTTCTTCATCCGAAGAGGAAGAAGAAATGTTGTCGTTCACTTTAGCAGCTACTTGTTTCTTTACCACCTTCTTTTTGGAAAGTGTAGAAATCACTTTATTTTTTTTGGTTGTATCTTCAAGATTCAATTTTGGTTTTTTCTTGGAAGTTTTGGCCAATCGCGCCGCAATTGTCTCTTGCAGGTCATTTTTGTAAGGAGTAGAAGTTAAAATTGCCGTCTTACCTCGTCTCCTATCGCCTGAGTTGGATTTACGTTCTGGGGCTTGAGGAATGTTTACTATTTGCTTAGGAGTTATAACAAAGTTCGAAGACGTACTACACGAAGGGGCGTAGAGGTCATCTCCAGATCCAACGCTTGCTGGTACTGTTGGTAAATGATTTACTGGATTTTGAGTAACTGTCTTGACTGGAGTTGCATGTTCTGGAATTTGAAGTGATGGTTGTGGAGTAACTGAACGCGGGATTGTTTCATCCAAGGGTCTATTAGTAGTTTCGGAAGGCTCAAACATCCAGTCTGGGAATATTTCCGGGTTAAGGGGGTATATGCCAGTTGCTTTAAAACCATTAACCGCAGTTTGAACACATGCTGCCTTCATAAATGCAGCACCGTAAAGCTCTCCTACTTGAGAAATAGTTACCGCTCTACCGGGGTGCATTTGCAGCCACTTTTGAACATTTTCAGCATAATATGTGCTGACTGGAGACATGAAACTTACATCGAGCGGCTGTAAACGATGGGTTGTATGAGGAGGAAAACACAGAAGGATGACGTTGTTTGCTCGTGCCATTTCTATTAGTGCAAGGCTTTTTGTGTGCGTCGCATGACCGTCCAACAAGAGAAGCACAGGTTTTTCCTTGGTTGGATTAGAAAACGTAATGAACTTTTTAAACCAATTAACAAAAATGTCAGTTTGCATCCAACCCGATGAATGATATGCAGCGCTGGTTCCAGGGGGTGCGTTGTCTAAAAGTTCTGGTTTAGCTCTTTCTCTTGGAAAAACGAACATAGTTGGCATAAAGACACCTGTCGCGGACATACACGTTTCAGCTGTCACAAGAACACCCCGTTCTCCCGAAGACAGGCAGCCAATTTGCTTCTTGCCTCGTAATGCCAAACATTTAGACCGCTTTTTTGGGACTGTCATTATTCCTGTTTCATCCACGTTATATATTCTGTCGGGTGATAGATTGTATTTTTTGTAAACTTCTCCAAGAAGTAAAAAAAACTTTGCTACGGCTGCTCTGTTGAAACCTATTGCTCTAGCAAGAGATGTTGGTTCTGCAGTTCGTAGTGAGACATTTGGATGTCTTTTTAAGAATTCGTAAAGCCATGTTTTTCCAGCGGTTTTTTTTTCTTTATTAAACTGGTGGGCTAGGCCGTTATTCTCCGCCAGATCAAAGGCCAATTTACGCAAATCCTTAAGACTAAAACCAAATAAACGATTTTCCATCGCAAATATATGTTGAACAATTTCCTCCTCTTGTTCTTTTGTGAAAACTGCTTTATATCGCCCTAAACCCTTGTTTGATGCATTTTCTCGTAGAAGTATTCCTTTCCTGACTTTATTTACTCTACCCTCTAATGTAGAACGGGGAACATCAAACTCTTTTGCAGCTTTGAGGTAACCCATCTTACCATCTAGTACTTTTTGAACAGCATTTTTCATACTAACTTCATTCCAAGATTGACGTTCCGTCTTTCTTTTGTATTTACCCATTATGATTAATTATTCTAAATAAGAGAAAAAGTATTGTAAAGTCATAATCCCACATAAAGAAACATATAGAAAAACGCGTGGCTCAAAATCGGATACGTCCGATTTTGAATGACCATTGTGTATCCGATTCTGAGCTCATGTAGGTTAATATCGAAAAAAAATCACTGTTTATTAATTGCAAATATTATCGATAAATTTTGTCCATAATCTTAACCGGCTTTATTGGTAGTTTATAAAACAATACTTACCAGTTCTTTAACACTTAGCCAAATGTAAAAAAACACTAGTTGAAAATACGTGCCACAATTTAGTTTAACCTCAGCTTATATGTTATTTTGTGTACGACGCCATCTAGCAAAATATGTGAAATCAAATTAGCTGCTGTAGGTAAAGAATTAATATGGCAACTAAATTACGACACTAGTGGCTAGATGTCACTGTACATTTAAAAGAAAAGTTAGGTATCCGATTTTGCATGACTATCCTGTTTTGGACTACTTTCCCCTATCTTGATTTCAACGTGTCGGAGTTGTCATAAAAAAGTAAAATTCGCAAAAGAAAATTTTACGGTTTGTAGAAGAAGCTGTTGTCCTTCAGAGGCTAGGGAAGTTCTATCTAAATAACTTTAGAGCATTTTTTTTTCATTTATAAGTACATACAATTGCTTTTAGAGCCCAGTTGGCTCACAGCTTGCTTAAGCATTCTCTTCCATTTTTCTCTATCTTGACATTTCCCTTGCATTATTTGTTTCAATTTTCCTCAATTCTTCCTCTACCTCCTTTTCCATCTCATAGTCAGTCTGCCTTCCGCATCGCACCTGCTGTGTTGGTTAAAACTCTACTTGTAACTCTGCTCCCAACCGATCCGGGTCTTGATAAAAATTATGTATTGCTTCATTTTTGTTTTCTCTGCAAATCGTCTCCGACTATTTTACCACCATACATTTTTCGAAGTATATTCCGCTCCCGTATGTTTATGCTTTTCTGTTGAATCATTGTAAATGTCCACACCTCACAATCATACATTACCATTACCACTGTCCAACTGATAGCTTCTTTATTCCTGTTGACATGTTTTGATTACTCATGATTCTTTTCACATCTAGGGTATCTGCCTTTCTAATGAATACTGTGCTGAAGTAGAGACATATTTTAACTAGGAAAAAACTGTAACTTTTTCCTTTACTTGGAGTAAATTGTTGGGCCCTTGCTTTTCCATACTTCCTATCGTCCCGCTCATGTATTTAGGTTAGCTGTAGCCCAATTTCCCTGACTGTTCTTTCTACTCTTTTTAATATTTCTGTAAGCTCTTTCTGACCTGTTTTTCGCTATTAACGTTGTATCGTCAGCAAAGGCAACACACTGATATCTGTTAAAATATTCTAATCCAGAGCGATTTATTTATGCTTGCCTCAACACTTTTCCTATATCAAATTAAATAAAATGGTTGAAAGTCGGTCTCCCTGTTTTATACCATTTTTGACTTAAAATTTTCTTGACTGATGATATTGATTTAATATAAATCTGCACATAGTTTTCTTTAGTGTTAATTCTACTAGCCTTACCATATTTCCGCTCGCTCCTAACTCTCCATATATACGTTGTCTCTTAAAATAGTCATACGCTTGTTTAAAGTCTTGACTCATTCTGACACTCTACCACTACTGCTTCCATTGTCAACACTAGTTTGTTTTTTAGATATATTGTGAAACTCTTACATGCAGTGTATATAATTTTCAAATTCCTGTTTCCAGTCTTTTTTATATAATCGCATCCGCATTACTTGTTTCCATTGCTCGGATAATTGCCATTGTATGCATATTTTTTGTATGTTTTATGTATCATATATTTTACAATATTTAATTTATATATAATCTCCTTTTAATTTTTTTTTATATTAAACAAGTTCCATACAGATTTTTAAATTTAGTAACTGATAATTTAAGCCAATACGACATAAAAATTTTATATAAAGTTTATTATTTTTATTCTGATACCGCGTAGTAACTTTTGCTCATGATTTTGAAGTAAATTTTGATAAATTTGTATTGTATTGTAGGTCATTTAGCCTGTACCTGTATTATTTATCAGATCTGGAACCATAGCCCCTCCTCATTTGACCGTAATAAAAAATAAAAATAAAAAACAAAAATACCGAATAACTAATAAGTGTAGTAATAATTTCAAATTGTCTTTATTAATAAACTTGCTGTGTATTTACAAAAATAAAATTGGTTTTTAATCTAGCTCAGTTCAGGCATTGATTCAAAATTATGTCTTTGAACCAACGGGTGACATCGTACTCTACACTTGTCGATGAGGGTCTTTAGTTGAGTCATTTTATCCATTTCTACTTGGTCTAACACATCTTCCGTCTCATTACAAAAATCGTAAATTTCCTCATAATCATCAACCAAACCCATGTTTTCCAGGTTATAGGTAATGCTCGTGCAATAATTAATTAAATAAATTTTCAGTTTACAAAACTCTCTAAACTTTTCATCATTTTCTTTGTTATTTTCGGCATCTAATAATGTGTTATGAATCTCGCTCTCGCTTCTGTCTCCAGGGGTGTATTTCACTTGTAATTCTTTGAAATTTCCGCCACATTTTTCTTCAGCTTTAGCAGTCAAAATACCGTTATGGTCTAAGGTCAAGGTAGCTATGACCTCCACTTGGCCAGGTGGTGCTGGAGTCAAACCGTCCATGGAAAGATTGCCCAAGTATCTATTCTTCCTAGCGTCTGAACGTTCTCCTTCATATATACCTAAATCGAAACCGCTCTGGTTGTTATACGTAGTGGTGTAATTTATGGAAGCACTCATGGGTATTTTCGTATTTCTATTAATAAGAAAAACCATTTCGTTTCCCAAGTCGTTGAAACCGAGAGAAATGGGAACAACGTCCACCATTTTAAGCATTTCGATTTTTTGTTTGCTGCTTTTTGACAACATGGCTGCTTGTAGGGCCGCACCTTCGGCGACACACTCGTTAGGATTCACGAACTTATTCAACTTGATTCCGTCAAAGTATTCAGTAATCATTTCCTGAATTTTTGGAATTCGAGTAGAACCCCCACACAAGATAACCGCTTGTATCTCACTTTTAGGAACCTTCGAATTCTGCAGGCATAAATGAAGAATGTCTATAGTTTTTTGGAACAATTGTTCAGCCATGCTTTCAAACTGTTTTCTAGTGATGGTGATTCTTAATTTCGGACAATCTGGAACCATCCCGTTAAGGACTATTGTTGTTTCGTCTGTGCTCGACAGCTCTTTTTTCGCCTCTTCGCATTTTTTCTTAAGTCTTCGTTTATCATCAGCGTCGTTCTTTGGATCATAATTGTGCTCGTCTTGAAGTATTTGACAAACGTGTTCTAGAATGCAGCTGTCAAAATCGTGCCCACCCAACTGGGTATCTCCTGCCACCGATAAAACTTCGATGTTGTCCAAACGCTGTTGGAGGACAGCTGCATCGAAGGTACCACCTCCCAAATCAAAAACCAAAGAAAAATGAGTTTCGTGGATTTTGTTGTCGAAATAGTAAGCCAAAGCGGCGGCTGTTGGTTCATTGAGTAATTTAAGAACAGTAAAACCAGCGTTTTCAGCTGCTTCTAACGTCACTTCTCGTTGCTTGACATTAAAGTAAGCCGGGACGGTAATCACTACTTTGTTTATCGTTGTTTCTAGTTTCTCTTCGACGTCTCTTTTTAGCTCTCGGAGCAGGATAGTGTAAAGTTCTTGCGGCGTTTTTCTAGAAATTTCACCGTCCTGTTCGACGCACACTACGGGTAAGTTTGCTTCATCCGAAGTCACTTGGAACGAAAACCACTCTATAGATTTTTGAAGTTTGGAATCGTCGTATTTTCTACCCACCAAGCGTTTAATTTCTGCAATACAGTTATTAGTTGACGATTTGTCAGATATTTACTGTACCATAAATTCCGTGTTCGGGTTTAAGGACTGCCATCTTTTTTGCATGTTCGCCGATGGTGATTCCACCGTCTGCCGAAAAGTATATGAAGGATGGTGTAATTCTTCCCTCAGCGTCATTTTCTATAACTTTCACTCTACCGTTCAGATATAGCGAAACACAGGAATTGGTAGTGCCCAGGTCTATTCCAATCACTAAATCGTGCATATCGTGCGTCTACAATCTGTAAGGAAAATTCGACAAAAAAAATACAAATTATGGTAAGTAATTATTCAGTGAAAAAGTAAATCAAAAAATTAAAATTTTTAATAGGGAAATAATTTTAAATTGTTGTTTAGTAAAAGTTTTAGATCACACTGTCACTAAACTAAACTTACAACTAAATTACATGAAGTTACAGACCTGTTACAACAATACATTTGAACTACTCTACACTAAATTTGTTCAATCTACAATAAACTTCGCACTTTGTGTGTTTGATTAAATATTGAACAACACAACTAGTACTTTTCTCAGATCGATAACAAAGTTGTTCACATATCGACATCTTGTTAAGAAACTTAAAGTAGCCATCTTATGTATGGTGACATGGCAACATAAGATACAATACTTACTGAGATAATCGATACAAATTTAGGCATATCTATCAAGGTTTCATAGCCATTGTATGGCTCTATGTTTATTATTTAGTAGTTTAGCGCTTGAGAAAATTATGTTGTTTTAGTATTTACAAACAAATGTTTCCCTATGTTTCCTAGCACGACGATCAATCTGAACAAAATTGATAAGAGAAAGAATTCTCTTTGAAATATTTTCAAAAAAAACGTGACACAATGAAACTACTGAGATTTACAATTTATAATCTTTTAAATAAAATCTTTCCTATCTAAAAAACATTTTTTATTGTAGTGGGTTGTAACTAACTTGTTCACTGAGCCGAGTGATTGCAGATGTGGATATTTTATGTAAATGTGTATTGAATTATTTAATTATCTAACAGATACCCTGTTTTTTGTCGTGGAAACAATAAGTAATCTAGATTATTAAATATAGATTAGATATAAGAAAAATTTTCAGGTGCTAAGTGTAAAAAAAGGCTGTTGAGAATGTCTTAACTTGTTCGTCGAAACGGTAGATGACGCTACTAATTGCTATTTTCATCGAAAACAGAAATTATTGAGTTCTGTTAGTTTAAAAAGTTTAGTGTAAGCTTGTTAAATATAATAACTAAGTATTATTTTTCTTGAAACTATTGATTTCTTAGTAACCAGCAACTGGACCCGGCTTCGCATGGGTAGCATTAAGTATCTATGTCTGGGTAATTTGTTTGGCGTAATGAAGTTGTATATGTGTTTTATTTAACGTATTTCGGTATTTCTAAAAGATATTGTGGTGACCGAATTTGAGTCAAAGTTTCGCGCTGAAATTAATTAACAGCGGTGCGAAATCACATTTGAATAATTTGAATTTGAAAATAAAAATTACACAGGCCTGCGAAATATAACTTTTAATTTCCCTTTTAAATAATATTGTTTTTTTTTAGGTATTTATGTATGCCGAATTAAAATATAACTCTAGTTTTTTTGTAGCACATCGAGATTTATTTTTATGTAGGCCTAAATATTCATAGTTTTTCAAACAATTTTTATGAAAAAATAAAATATAAAGAATATAAAATTGAATGTTTATTTATTAAATGAACTAAATTAGTTATAAACAAGACTTAAAAAAGCAAATAAATCAAGAAGCTTCTTTTTTTCTTTCTTCAAAGCTCTGATTTAAGCGTTTTCTCTTGTATTCACGATAGGATATGTTATTGCTGTTACATTTTTCGCATTATATCATTTTATATTTGAACAGCAAAAGTAACAATCGTCTCTATGATTTTGTGGCTCCATCCAAATCATTGGTGTCAGCAAACTTATCTGAAGAATTAACCCATTTCCGAGAAGACATTAGTAATTTTTGTTTAAATTCAGGGTAGTAAGCGCATACTCGACACAAATAACTCTTACTAAGCTGAACACGAAATGAAATATCAACACATATTATTACCACAAAATCTAGAAGTTAATTTTTATAGTACTAAGAACAAAACTGAAAAAAAAAATTTTTTGCAGAAACTGTACGTGATAGAAATTTTTGCAATTTTTTTTTATACATGAGTATCTAAGACCTACCGAAATTACTACTTCATTTTGTTGGGGGAAAACCATCGCAGGCCTGTGTTATCGGTAAATATAGGCCTTGTGCACGTTTAGTTCTTTTCCTGATAGTTGGTAGCTCGCTAGGGGATGTTAGTTAGAGGCTTGGTAATAGACAAGCGAGCGGCATGGCGACAGCGTGATTATCATTATGATTTGGTTCGGTCTAGTGGATGCATGGTAAAAAGACGCTGTCAGTAGCTAGGTTAAATTAGTTGATTTGGTAGTCAATAAAAGGGAGGAAACCTTTGTTTCACGAAAATTAATCGTAACGATGGCGCCCAGGTTTATCCAACCCGCGCGGCTAATTGTTAATCGGAAAACATGCGATCTTTGTTTTATTGTTTGTAAATTCACCGATCAGGTTAGTTTTTTTAATCGTTAACTGTTTCTAACACAATTTAACAGACATTAGATTTATTTAAAGAAACACTTACTAGGAGATTCATAAAATTCACTTAGTCAGGATAACACCTTTGTTTGTTTAATTATAAATAAGCTTCTGGATGCTAATACGTAAGTGTTACATTATAACACTTCTTAATTCTTCACACAAGATTGCTAATAGTTCATTTACGGCAGTTAAATTAACTAATTCATACCGTGAACTGTCGGTGGGTTAAAATAATTTATTCCCTTAGTTATCATCGTTATTATCATTATCATCATCATTACACATTACGCATACAATATTTCTCTATCTCACCTCAGTAATTTTCCTTTGTTGCACTTTTAACCTCACATAATATTTGTATTTGTACAAGTTTATTTCACACCAGATCTTTTGTTTTTATAAATTGTAACGAAGCGAATTTTCGCGGGCCGGAAACCGTGACGCGTACCGCGAAAGCCGGGGGTAAATGGGCGATCGCCGCGCCGCCGCGGCGGAAGAAGAGGACTCTTCCCTGCAACTTCAGAGAGTGCGGAAGTGCTGTGGCGATTGTGGGAATTTTTCTTGTTTTTGGAGAAGTGTGATAAAGTGAGCAGTTCGACCCTCCGACCACCGTAAGTACCTTTTTGGGTCGTCTGCCCGTCTTAGTACCGGTTTTCGAATCGCCGCCCCCGAGCGAGAAACCGTGTCACCGTCACCGCGTTTTTTTTTGTCACCGTCGAAAGTCGACACCGTCGTGCACGCGTCGTTACCGTCACCGCGCTCCCCTCCCGGGTCGCCGTGCCGTTTTCGCGCGATTTCCAGGTTCAAGGTCGCCGCCCCCAGAGCCAAGAGGAGCCCGGCCTGAAGGAAGTTGCCGCCCAGGAGGAACGACCGTGCCGGACTTTAATTCTTTTTTTGTAGTAAAATCGAATTGTTAGTCATTTAAGTTGTTTAGCCATAAGATTTATTATCTTAGACCGTGTAGCTGGTGGCAGGGAATAAACCCTATTTTATTGTAAAATCTCTCTCGCCGTTTTATTTTATTTATTCTCGGGTTTTCGCGGCGGCTCATCACCTGAATTCCGTGTCTCCGGCTTTAGAGCACCCCGGCGCTCCCTCCCCCGGAGAGGGAGCTGGCGCCCGAGCGACCGTCGCTCCTGACCGAAGGCGCCACCCCCGGCGGCGTGAAGGTAGCCGCATAAGCTTGGTCGACCAGACGTGTTTCTGACATCAGCGATACTAGTCGACCCAAAGCTTGGCACCCAAGTACGCCGCCACCCCATACGTTATCGGCGAGATTCCGGACCGTCACCGGACCGTCCGTCCCTCCCATCCGGAATTTTCGTCGCATAATTTTGGCGCCCGAGCAGGGACCTAAAGTGAGCCGCCCCCGGTCGTCCGCCGCCACCAGCTACGTTTTTGTCCGCTATCAGCGGGAGACCGTCGTTTTTGAGCGGTCTGTTTTTTTTGGTCTCTTTGCAAAATCACCGATATAGATAAGTGCCGTTATCTTACTGTTTTTTGTTTTGTTTTTGTGCTGTGTTGTGGTCGCCGCCACTGGCCCCGAAGTCCCGTGACGCCATCAACCGTCACCGTCAGAATTGGTGACGTCACAGAATGGGTAAGGAGGACCAAGGCCGGCCGCACCCAGCTCCGCTCGCGACGTGGGTGCACCAGCTGCAGCGTCACGAACTGGAAGAAGCCCTGCGCGAGATTGGGATCGACGCCACTGGCTCCGTCGACACGCTCCGCCGGCGTTTGAAGGATTTTCATCTCCGTCGCCAGGCCGAAATCGACACGGAAATGAACCTGGAGGAGTTGGCCACGTCTCTCCCGACCGTCACCGACGAGGTCGTGGACACCGTCATCGTGTCGAACCCCAACGCCTCCATACCGACGTCGACCATCGGGTACGTGGTGTCAAATTCGGCTTCAGCGACATCGCTGACCTGGAGCATTCCGCTAACCAGGCCTGCCGTGCCCACGCCCGTGATTGCACGACCAGTAATGCCAGCGCCGTTTCCATGGGCAGCCCCCACCAGCGCTACAGGTGCCGTTCCCCGAGTCCAGTCCCCAGGTGCCCTGTCACGACCTGCCGTCCCGCTAGAACTTGCTCGTCCCGCCTCTGGAGAGGCCCCCAGGAGCCGAATCGACGAGCCAAGTGCGTGGACGGACAGGGAACCGCACCGTCTTTCCCCATCGCCCTCACCGACAGCCACAAGATCAACTTCGCCGTCTCTGAGCCGAGAATTTCGACCGCCACCACCGAAGCGTCCGTCCCTCGTGCCACCACCGGCACCGATTCAGCCCCGTCGAAGTCGCCACTCGGTCCAGTCGTGCTACGCACACCCGCGGGACACCCGTTGGGAAGCCCTGGATCTAGTGCGCAAGAGCCGTGTTCACTTTGACGGAGAGACCGACCCCATGGCGTTTCTGGAGCGCGCCGAAGAGCTCCAGGAGCATTTTGGCATTGAACCGGACACGATGCTCACCGTGCTGCCGGAAATGCTCACCGATAAGGCGTTGGCGTGGTACCGTAACAACCGGGCCCTCTGGTACTCCTGGGACGACTTCGTCGAGGAGTTCCGGGACTTCTACATGCCGAATTATGAAGAAGTCCTGGAAGACCAGATCGTCAACCGTCGC